ATAACACATAATGAAACAAATAAAAAAGGGTGCACATTACAGCTTAACAGCAGCAATTACATGGTGAAAGATAACAAATGAAATACTTGTTTTTATCTGCAAGGGATGGATCTGGAGATAGAGGACCTGGATCTGCAAGGAAACCAAAACATAGTTGCCACTGAACTCTGACTGTCAATACTCTTTGGGAGGCTGACCAATGAATTTCAATTCAGTGTACTGGACAGGCAATAGATCATAGAAAACATAAAAAATGGGTAAGGACAAAAAAGTGGTGCACAAGGTGCAGCCCATTTTGTCCCTGAAGTTCCTATTTTGATGCCTTCTATGGTCTGTTACACCCACTAACTGTTTGAAGTGTAAAATGTACGGAAAAGTTATTGATACTCATGTCATCTGTATGTCTGTTCTCAACTAGATCATAGTAAGATTCAGTCAAATGCATTTATAATTCAGCTCCACACTGAAATAGATCTAGAGACTGACAAATGATAAAATTTCTTTATCAGGCAAACCTGAATAAGACCCAAGGCTCAGATGGTACCTGTAAGCAAACATGCCATACTTGACATAAGCTGTTTTTCCTTCTGTGTCTTCCAGATCAACATGCAGCCTATTCTTGGTTTGCAGCCATGTCTTGTCTTGACGATGGTTGCTATCCATGATAATGGTGCCCAGGCAAATAGTGAAAAAGTGACAGGGGCAAAGGGATTGGATTTTATTGAATACCATCAGTGATAAAAAATAAGTCTGCCTTTGAAGAAGAATTGACAAAATGACCTATTCACAATACCTTCAAAGAACATCTCTGGATGCTCTCTTAAACATTGAACACCAGCAGCCCTTGCTTCTACGTATTACTATTTAACTGATATGATACAAAATTGAGGTAATCACCACCTCCACCAACATCTAGAGGACTCAAACCATGCCTTATGCAGTCTAGAGTTCAACAGGTTATCAGACCCTCCACACATTACTGCTCTAGGACCTGGGTTTACCTCAACATCACCAGGTAACAAAATACTTCTTTAAGCAAAGTTATAGGATATGGTTGGTCTTCTTTTGATATACTGAGTATAGAAACTATCCTCTCTATGAATATACCAGAAATTCCATTCTTAATAATTCATACAAATTCTGTGTAGCACTGATGATGATGGTAATGACAAAGTCGTTACTCTTGTTTTTCTTTCTTACTCAATGAGTCAGAAAAAGATCAAATTCTGAGTGACTTCTAAATTTAAGACACTTACATGATTTTAATTGATTTGGAACCTTTATTTCATCAAAAGAATACAATAAAAATCACTTTTTCCCAACTAACCTGAATAACGAGTCAGACCGTGATGTAACAACGTTAACAGTCACACTCAAAGAAATTCTACAAAGCTATCCCAAAGTTTTCTTTTTTTTTTTCAAATTTTCGCACTTTAATTTTTGTGAACACACAAGCTTACAGTAATGTATAGCTCTCTTTACCTTAAAGAACGTAAAACTGAAACGTGTGCAGACTGTAGGAGTAAAATGAGACGTTTCAGTCTCTTTTGCAGTGTACATATCTAAATTCACTTCATATCGCGTTCCATCTTGCATAATTCGTGTAAGAAACTAGTGGGACCCAGGAACATGTTATGAAGTAAACGCTTTGTCCCAGTAACTTTGATTTATCCTACTAAATATCTGATATAGTCTGTTAAGCTTTGCCACATCACACATTACACCGGTGGAGTATATACATGAATTATTCCTTGAGAAAACGAAAAACGATCTCATAGCCACGATAACTTACATTAACAATTCGTACAAAAACACAAAACAGCAAAATAGATAACTCTGGGAGCGAAAGACTTATCTGGAGGTATGAGCTGTTCCCGAATTTTAAAAATTTCTGCGTCACAAGTCCATCCTCTTGTATAGCTCGCGAAGCTTAGTTGATGTGCAGCGCTTGGTAACCACTCTATCTCCAAACTATGGTTGCGCGGGCTCAACGTTTTTGACAACTACCGAAAACAATTGGTCTGGAAAGAAACTGCCTCTTGTCAATCTCAAATAATGAGCGAGATTTCAGCGGGCAGTCCTGCCCTCAGCACTAAAGTTAACTTGTACATTAGGAGGGCATTGATATCTAGGTTCAATATTGAGTGATTACTTGGAGTGTCAGGTGGGTTCTCCTTGTTACCATATTTGAGTGTCAACCGAAGGAAGCTGTTAGTTGCATCAGTAACTCACATGTCCAAGAAACTGAATGAATGCTGCTTGATTCAACTTTGCCTTCTTTAGAAAGATGCTGTAACAAAGATGTTGGAATGGAGTGCGCCAAGGCAACTGATTGAACACTCTTCATACTGATTGTAGGGCCGAAAATTTTCAGTTGCAGAGGCTGTATAATATCGATAAATTACAACTGTGAATGATGGCACAGTCTGTGTAGTAGAGAAGGTTTTAATTGACGATAAAAAATTTTGTTTTAAAAATGTCCAATTTAGCTGAAATATATATTGCTTTTGGTATGAACATGTTCTGAGTTAACTGTTGATTAGTGCTACAAATTGTGAATGAGATGTTCTTATCCATTTCATGAAATCCAGGATTGTATTAAACGATAATGGTAATTAAATTATTTTAATGAAAATTTATTCACTTAGTATTGCGTCTTTTAACATTAAAATGATCAAAAGCGCTTTACATAAATTTAAAAATATATGTAAAAATACAGCAACTACAATGAATTATAAGAAATATCTTTAAAACCTAATACTAAAAATACACAATTGACCACCCCCAAGAAAAGTTACTTGTTGTAAGCTTAATTAAAAAGATGTGTCTTAAGTTTTTTCTTAAAAATGCTGAGTGATGGTATTTCCTGAATATTTGCTGGAAGGCTGTTCCACAGTGTGGGGGCATAAAATGAACGAGCTCCTATTGTAGAGAACATGCGCCCCTTGGGACAGTCCAAAGATAATGAAGAATTCAATCTAAGGAAATAAACAGAGCGCAACTTAATGGACACTACGTTACTAATGTAGCTAAGTGACATATTATATATAGCCTTAAATGTAATTATTAAAATTTTAAAATGAATATAATAAAACACAGGTAACCAGTGACAGTTATATAAAGCTGATGTGATATGATCATAC